AGTGATTTGTACACAAACAACAATTCAATAACAATTGGCTATAATTATTTCTACTTGACTGACTCCTTTAATGGATTTATTTTTATGTGTCAGTCACCAGCCAAAACTTTTAGGTGCACTATTTCATTTAGCTTCACAGCAACCCTAAAAAATACGATATATTAAGATTATCTCTCTACAAATCCTAACACCCCCTTAAATGCTTGGGATATGCCGGACATTTTTCTGGGTGTTTTACTTGTAATAAAGCATAGGTCCTTTTGGCTCTGGAAACCATGCTCTTGACTGTTACACAGCACTACCCTTTTCATAGAGAAGTATCAGAAGGATAGAAAGGTTAGTGACGTTCCAGTCACATCACTATTACGTAATAAAACTAGGGTCTTATAACAACTTCTGTACTATACATATGTCACCTTTTTTTGTTGTTGTTGTCTTCTCTACCACCATTAATGACTTTGGCCCCTTGTTCTTCTGCAAGACAGCATCTTGCCTGATCTCACATGAATCTTAATCAGCTTCTCTCTCTCTCTGACCTCATAGATCCCTCTCCCCTCATTTCTGGCAAGTTTCATACTTACTTCACTTTATCCTCTATAACCCGGAACCCCATCATTTCCTAGATGCCATGGACATGGACCCTGCTCTTCCCCTCCTTGTCCTATCACCGTTCCCTCAAACCTCCTTCACACCATCCTTGTTCATCGCCTCACTCCTGGTGTTCTTACTTCTATTGACCTGCACCACCGTATGCGGCCATGTTCAAGACTGCCCCAGTTTCTGGTATAGAATGTGATCCCTTCCATTTTTTTGAACCTTTGCAAATCCAGTTCCTTGTGTTGGAATTTCTTCCTTCTTTTTGTATTCATCTTCCAAGGCCCAAATTGGAAGTTTCTCTCTCAAGGGCGTCTTCCTGCTCCCCCCAGCTGGAATGGGCTTCTTCCTCCTTCGGTCTCCTTTCGTACTCCCCTGACAGCCTTTGGCATAGCTGTCTCTTGGTTATTTGTCTCTCTCTTTCTCTCCAGCTACACCAAGGACCATCCTTGTCTTTTTCTGAGTGCCTCGTAACATCACGAAAAGAGCATAGATTCCAATGTCAACTCCGCTGCTCGCTTTTTTCTCTTGCAGCGTCTTTCTGTCCATTTTCATACTTGTAAACTGAGAGAAACGTGGTGCTCAGGGTTGTTGTGTGGATTGCAGGAACACACAGTGCAGAGAAAGTGGAGTGCCCGGTAAATGCCAGCTTCCTTCTCAGCACAGTGCCCTGCTCTAGATAGAGTCTCGCGAGGATCTGCAGTGAGTGCCTAAATAAAGGTTGGATGAAGTGGTGCTTCAATTTGGCTATGTTGTACAGGAAGACAAAGTGTAAAGGCTCCCCATAATGGGCAAGAATTTTGATAATCAGAACTTTAATTACTTGGATATTGGCTTATATACCGGGTACCTGAAAATTAAAAAGAAAGTGAGGTACCCTGGCCGGTTTGGCTCAGCGGTTAGAGCAACAGTCCGCGGACCACAGAGACCCGGGTTCGGTTCCTGCTAAGGACACGTACCTTGGTTGCAGTTTGTCCCAGGCCCCGGTTGGGGTTGTGTGGGTGGCAACCAGTCGATGTGTCTCTCTCACATCAATGTTTCTCTCTCTCTCCCTCCCTCTCTCCCTCCCGCTCTATCTGAAGATAAATGCAAAAATGTTCGTGGGTGAGGATAAAAAAAAAAAAGAAAGTAAGGAGAAGTTTGATGGACTTTATTCTTAAATAGCTAGAACAAAAGTCACTGCATTCTTATGATGCTTATAATTGAAAAGTATTAAAGGAATTAAGAAACTTAGAAGTAGGAAGCATTTAGAAATAAGATTACATCATTTGATACACTCTCCAGGGCAAGAGAGGAAAGTAAACATTGAAAGCAATCTAGTAGACAATTTATTTCGGGGATAGTAGGATAATTTCAAGTAGCTCTGAGAAAATTATTATGCAAACCTACAGATAGGACCCTAAAATACGTAACTAACGACACAGTATGCGCATCATCAGATGTAAATCCCTGTGGCAAAACCCACTGGCTTCGGAATCAGACTAGATTTAAAACAGGGCTCCCCTGGTTAGAACGGTTAACAACTTGTGTAAGTGATTTCACTGATCTCAGGCTTAGTTTCTTCACCTATAAAATGGGTAGGTCAATAGTGCCGATGCCACGGGGTGTTAGGTGGTTGTGGATTTCATGGCGTGTGCAGTGTCGGAATGGTGGGCGGCGACTTGAATAGCACTCATCACATTGAGATCTGACTCGGGTGGGCACTCAACAAGTAGCTCATAATGGATTGAGCAATGCTCATGGGTGATTGCGTTCCCCAGAGGACATTTTGCAGTTGCTGGAGACATTTCTGGTTGTCACAGCTTGGTGGGGAGGGAGGTGTGCTACCAGCCTCTTGTGCGTACAGGCCAGCAGTATTGCTAAACATCACGCAACCAAAAGGCAGTGCTGCCCCAGAAAGAAACATCTCTCCACCCTGAAGTAGCAGGTGGAAGTGGAGAAAACAATGCGTAAAATGAACCTCTCTCTAGTTTATCTGCAGATAGCAGTATTTTAAAACCCTTCAAAAGGGGATAAAGGGATGATTTGAAGGTATAGTCATAGAAAATAAACTCCATGCTTCATACCTTCAAAGTAATTAATAGAAAATAAAACACACAAGTTGGATAAATCTGGATTTAACAAAACAACCTTGTGCTGTTTTTTCCCCCACACAAAATGATCACCTGGACTGCTTATTAAAACACAGATTTCCAGGCTTCACTTCCAGCACGTTCTGATTTGAAAAGTCTGGAGTGAGAAATCTGCATTTTTAAGAAGCACTCAGTGAATTCTGGTGCAGCCGGTTTATAGATGACAGTTTGAAAGATTCTTCCAAAGGGCCGAATAGAGTGGATTCATGGCTTATAAACACTTTCAAAAACCTTGCAGCATTAGGTAGCTCTGGTTCTCTTGATCCTTAAAGGCTGAAACACTCAGTCTCGCTGTTATCAATGAGGATAAACGAAGTCGAGTGGATCTGCAGAAAGACAGTGAGCACAGGGTTGCCATACCCGGACAGCATACTCACACGACCAGAACCCCTGTGCCATCTGCCCTTTCCACCTTCATTCTGTCTGTTGCACAGGTACCACGTTCAAGCTCCCAGGACAGGGAAAGATTCGTTTGCCACCTGGCCTTTGGGAACATGCCCCATCTAACTAGGTCCAGGAAACGCGCTCCATGTACTTTCTCCTGTCTCCTCGGAGCCCTAGAGGAAACTTCCAAAGTGTTCTGGGGATTGCACACAAGAACATCTAGAGTGTAGACCTAAGACAGGTGAAAATTATTTCAATTTAAAGGAATAATTGCCCAGCCGGTGTGACTCAGTGGTTGAGTGTGGACCCATGCACCAAAAGGTCCAGTTTGATTCCCCAGCGGGGCACATGCCCAGGTTGAGGGCTTGATCCCCAGTAGGGGGCGTGCAGGAGGCAATGATCTTTGTTTCTATCTCTCTCTCCCTCTCCCTTCCTCTCTCTCTAAAAAGTCAATTAAAACATATTTTTTAAAAATAAAAGGAATAATCAAGAATTAAAATGCCTTTTAAATCAATTTGTATAATACTTTTGGATTCTTATTTTACAAAGACAGGTTATGGGATTCTGGCAGAAGTTTATTGTCATTAAGTGTGTGGCATTTTCATGGGAATACTTATTTCTAGAAATAGCAACTGTCTATTTTGTGTCAACTGGTTAGGAAATAAACTGTGCTTCGACACAAACGCAAAGATACCTGTTGAGCCAACAGCACAGAGGAAAAGTGGCGCAGAACATTCACCTTCAGCGTCACTGTTTACCTCGGCGGAGAGAAAGCTCTGAAGATGGGCTATTAGGCTGGCTCAAGTAAACAAAAGTTTTTGACTCGGTCTAAGTCAAAAAAGAGCTGATCCACTTCAACTCTTGTAAAGTCATTTCTCAAATTGCAGTAGCAGATGAATAGCGATCAAGGCTCCTTTCAAAAACTCAAGTCTTTCAGTTACCTTGAAATGTGTCCCCTGGAAGAACTAGAGTTTCTCTGAGCAGCCAATTTTGACTGAGATAAAGACTCAATGTTTGACTTGAGAAAACTTGCCCAGAACATACAGCTAAGCTCATTAGAGATAGCATGTCCCAAAAGTTCCATGGAAGAGAATATTTCTAAAGTTACCCAGTTATAGGGATGTTTTTCATGCTTAGTATAAACATCATTTTTTTAGTGATGAAATGGACTTTTTACTTGCAGATGTATAAAAAATGTTTGTCATAGTTCCAGCATTTTTTTTCTTGAATCATTATGTATATGTTTGTACCTAGTGGTGTGCCTCCAACACAATCTCCCCACCCACCTACAACCCCCCCCCAAAAAAACACTGAGACACATATAATAAGTAATAGTTATTTCAATTATACAAACATGTGCTGTGGGATCTGATCATGAGATTTCTTGGGGCATTTAAAATATGATATAATTCATAAAATTTTTATGGGTGTACTGATTTAAGGACATTAAAAATAGTTGTACAGTGTGGGACACAACTCTATTCAGGCATTTATTATTTTTTCAACAGCTCTTCAGTGAGTATCTACTATGTGCCCAACACATAGTATTGGGGACATAACAGTGTATCTGAAAACAAGCTCTACCCCTTAAGCAGCTTACGTTGTAGGCTGAGATGCAGACCAAAAACATATGCAATGATTCATTAAATATTTGCAATTTGTAAGTACATCTACGAAGACAATAAATACAAGTAAGTATAATCAGATTTATTGGATTCTTTTATTTCTCATATTTCTAGCATTTCAAGATAGTCCAAGAATCTGTTTGCAATGATGCTAGTCAATCAAGTTCCGAACATATTTTGTTTTTTTAGAAAAAAACATTCTAAGATTGCTTGTGATTAACTTAACCTGAAAAATTTAGATCTATTAACTCCTTTTGTTTTTCAGAGTTTTTGGAGCTGCCATACTTCTTACCTCTACCCTGAATATGCTAATCCCATCAGCAGCCAGAGTGCATTATGGGTGTGTCATCTTTGTTAGGATATTGCAGGGGCTTGTTGAGGTATGGAACTGCAGGATGAAAGCATTTTAAGGTTGCCATGTTATTAAGAACCAGCAGACACTCTTTGTCTTGATCTACAAACAAATACTGTATGACTTATTCAGTTTTGTCTACCTTGTGTAAAATATTGAAAAAGCTAGGCAATCAGATATTTTGTCTTACCTCCCCTTCTCTAGAATTGAGTGGTGTTAAGGAAATGTTTAGTGACTATTTGACTTAAAAAAACAACAGACACTTTTGTAAATGTGTTGTGATAAATCTGTGTGAGTTCTTTGTTGGTGGTAACACTGAATTAATATCTTTTGGGATTTTTATACCAAGTCTCTATTGGCTTTGAATCATTATTTGAGTTTTCACTAATGCATTTTGTTGACTCTATTCTTTGGGCATCTAAGTCTAGTAACCGACTTTTGCACCATCAAAATGCCTTTGAAAGAATAGCATTTAAAAACTTGAGATGAGTCTACCTGTTGCCCCTTCTCTTTTCCATGGAACATGTGGGAATAGATAAATCAAATAAAATATGAAGGCACTGAAAACAATCTTCTCTCTCCAAAAAGAAGAAAAAAATTGATAAGATCAAAACAACAACAACAAAAAAGGATAATTATGGTTGTTACTTAGGATTTGAGGGATATTGGTTCCAAGACCCTCCTTTGGATACCAAAATCCATGGACGCACAAGTCCCTTATATACAATGACGTAGTATTTGCATATAACTTATGCACATCCTCCCGTGTACTTTATACCATCTCTAGATTAATGATAATACCTAATATAATGTAAATACTATGTTAGTAGTTGTTACACTCTATTGTTTAAAGAATAATAACAAGAAAAACAAGTCTACAGTTTTCAACACAGACACAACTATGGTAGGCTTAATTACATAGTACATGTCAACAACAAATGTAACAATTTTCCCCCTACTATTTGCTATCTGAGCTTGCATCTGCAGTTGCAGACCTTATAGCTACAGAGGGCTGACTATATTTTAAGGGTCTTATGTTCTAGACACTGCTTTCAGGAAGTATTTAGTCAAGAATTTAAGCTTTACCTTCTTTTGTATGGATTCCTTATATTTGGGCATCACTTAGTTTAATGCCTCATTAAAAGGTCTTCCAAACTTCTCATACCATTGAGAATTGCAGATGAACTGAGTAATATAGAATCTTTTATATTGCCTTGATCAGAAGAAACCTGTAGAAATAAAACTTGAAAGATGAGGAGAATTTGAACAAGTCACTAAAAAGAGGCTATGTATTACCCAGTCTGGGCTGAAAGTTTTAAAAAGGAATTTCAGGGAATCAGCAAAATCTTATGAATAGCAGCTTTCTCTTGTGCCTGTTCTAAGGAAACAGCATCAGAGAAGGGAATGTGCTTATTTTCCAATGACCCTGGATCCTCAATGGTGATGTATATCTTTCCCCATCACAGGGTGTCACCTATCCAGCATGTCATGGAATATGGAGCAAATGGGCCCCTCCTCTAGAGAGGAGTAGATTGGCTACCACCTCCTTTTGTGGTAAGTACTGTGTGCTGATGTAATCATGACAAGTGAAAGTTTAGTAACCACTTGAATAAGAATTGAACAGACTGACAATCCCCTGAAGAGGGGATGCCGGGCAGGGGGAGAGATAAATCACAGAACTTACATGCATGTATGTATGAACAATAGACATGGACAACAAAAGTGGGGACAGGGTGGGGAGGGGGAGAAGGGGGATCAGTGGGGAGGGAGGAGAAACATCTGTAACAAAAATAAATTAATTAATCTAAAAAAAAAGAATTGAAAATTGGTAAAGCTCAACGATTTGGAGAGAAAGTGTGTACACGAGGAAAGGTTTGGGACCACTGTTTCAATTTCTTTATTTCTTATTAGTCTTCTTAAATCCTCTATTTATTCTTGTGCTTTTGTAGTATGTTTTTGTTTTTTTGTTTTTAGTTCATCCATCTCATCTAGGTTTTCATATCTATGTATGAATAATTTTTATTATTCTTTTAAATTTAATTTTATTATAGTCTTATTTTTAAATCTTTGTTGTGTCTTTGGTAAGTTATATCCACTTGTGAAGTATTGGATTTCTGTCTAAATATGTAGGCATCTATGTGTGTTTGAAGGTATATGTGTGAGAGTGTCCATGCACCCGAGTGTGCAAGTATGTGTTTGTGTGAGCAAATCAACAAACAAGAGATAAAACTTGTATTAATTTTACTTACTTCTCTTCCCCTCTCCCTTCCACTTTAGGTTCCTATGCTGGAGCGGTGATCGCAATGCCTTTGGCTGGTATTCTAGTTCAATACACTGGCTGGTCTTCAGTATTCTACGTCTACGGTATGTTACACGTCTATACAATAAAGTTCAAAGAAATATGCAAGAGTGAGAACAATGAGATAGATCATCAAATATACCTCTGTGTCTACTTACTTTTTTTCCCCCCATTAAGAATTCTTTCCTTATATTCCGAGAAGATCAAGGAAAATGTTCTATTTCTATGATTTTCCCTATATTGCTATTTAATGTTTCAAAAGCAACCACATTACTGATGTGGAGACTTTGTGATGTGTGATGGATATTGCCCTTGATTATGACTAAAAAATTTAAGTTAGCTCTTAATTCAAAGGTGATGAGGAGGAAAGAGCTAGGCAGCCCCCACCTCTTTGGTACCGTTTCCTTGGCCGTTGCCCTGATCCGGCCTCCTGAAGACGGAACAGGGTGAGAGAGCTGAGTGGCGATAGTGATGCTAATGAAACGGTTCAATTTTGTGATGAAATATCAGCGGTCACTTGCAGCAGCGGCGCATGTGAGTGCCCATTTCCTCCGAACGAAAGGAGGTTAGCTCCCAAATGGGAATAAAAAATGACAAGAAACCCCAAGTTCAAACCCCCTTTCTGTTTACTTTCTAGCTGGCAGCCGAAAGCTTACCACCTGAACGTATCCCTAAAGTCTCCTCTCTTAAGAGACGTCTTTTTAATAGTGAGGAAAGGAAACATATAAGAAAACTGGATTCCAACTGATATTGTCACTGATTAATGCCATCTTTGAACATGGGAATGAGATCCTGAAAGATTAATGAAGTCACATGGTTGAGCAGAACAGTGATCTGGCTGCTTCCAAATTTGCTGTGATCCATTTCCATTTTGACATGTTCTCATCAGAGTGGATCCTTATGTTCGCAGAATGTTATTAAATATACTGTATAGGAGGGGCTCTTATCCTGGCTCAAAAGCCAGGCCTGGATGGCTCGTGGATTTATAAATGCTCTAAACTGTAAGCCATACATGCATTTGTACTTTTTCTTTCTGAGTAAATCTTTTTATCACATTTTAACCCATATTCTTCATTAGGTTTTCAAGAGTTCATAATTCAAAGATGTTTCAAGCATTTACTTATAGGCTATATCATACAAGTTGGGATGGCCATCTATTAAATCCTCTGATTTGTGCCCTATTCCATTACTTAATTGAAGACATGATGTGGCTTTAAAGTAAGGATACTAATTTCCACAAAGCATTTATGAAAAACAGTCTCATTATTTCAAGTTACAACTTATTTTATGTTCATCATTGAATGATATAAAGTCTAAACATTAGATCATCTGAAAATATCATATTATATTGCTTACTTGCTGTGTATAACAAAAGTTGAGTCTTTGAGCCACCTATTTAATATTTAAATTTTAAAAAGTAGTAAGATAAGACCAGGACCGTGACTAAAGTTTAATAAGATAATGCATACAGGGTGGGGGAAAGTAGGCTTACAGATAGATATTCGCATGGAAAATAACAAAATAATTAATAAATAATAATACAATAAACTCTGTTTCAAGTACTCACAACTATAAACCTCCTTTTGCTCCACCCTGTAAAAAGCAATTAGCTGAGTATTTGGCACTTTAGATGCATTCGGAGTGGTAATGATGATTATTTTTAAATTATAAGAGCTCCCACTTACTGAGTTCTTATTTTGAGCCCTCCACTGTGCTAGTTGTTTTATGCATTATCTCCCTTAACTTTTCTTTGCCACAATCTCATAAAAAATGAATTATCATCTCATTTTATAGTGGAGGTTTAGAGAGATTCAGTTCCTGATCAGATTATGTTGCTAATGAATGACACAGCCAGGATTTTAATCTGGGAGAGCCATATTCCATAACCACTACACTAGACCGAATTTTCACTGTCTGACCCAATATTGTACCTGCTGTCATGTTCAGTAATTAAAAGAAGCGTGGCACATCGGAAGCTATGGTATTAAGGAACATTTTTTAGAGATTGAACAAGCCAAAAAAAACACAACAAAAATCCATGGACATCAGAAACATTCAGATTGTCACCCACGAGGAAAAGAACAGCATGAAGCAAAAATGAAGTGGCCAGCGGCGAGGAAACAAGAATAAATCACTTGAAATTCTTTCTATTATTAATGCTTCCAGACTTATATTGCACAATAAGGACATGTATTAATGGTGAGAGTGCTAAATAAAGAAGGAGTTGAAAGGAACTTGCAAACAGTTGATTGTACTGAAATTTGTAATTTTCATGTGCCAAAAAGTTATCAGTAGGCAGTAGCATGTGCTGAAAATAATATGGTATTCAGTCACATAAAATGGGAAATGTTACTTCATTAATTACAGAAGAAGCATTTTTTTTTTTTAATGTACAGTAGCCACTCAGGCTAAAATAATTTTCTATTTATTTAATAGTCTGTTTATTAGATCTGGAAGTGCTATTAGGAGAGGTAAACAAGCATTTCTTTTTTTCTGCAAATGAAGACCACTCTCATATTCAAGATAGGCCGATAACAAAAGGATTAACCTCATTAAATTCTCAGAGGACAGAAATTTTGTCTTATTCATCATATTTTTCTCACTCAGCAGAGTGCCTGAAAAAGTAACTACTCAGTAAATATTTGTTGGATGTGTGAATGTGTTCTAAACCACACCATTCAGTAATGACTTATTGAGAGTTTCTTGTGTATCAGCATCATGTAAAGAGACAAAGAGATACGTACAGTTACCAGCCTTCAGGAAGACTGAAGTCTGGTGGCAACAGACAAGAAGAGATGGCTAAAGTCCATTGTAGAAACATAAACTCAAATTCACATTCTACCGAACAAGTTTGTCGCAAGAGTTTTGTAGTCTTATTTCAGCAAATGACTGTTAAATGGAAAAGTTTATAATGGTTTTCTTTGACTTCCTCCTTTTGAACTCTTACTTGCAGGAAGTTTTGGGATGGTCTGGTACATGTTTTGGCTTTTGGTGTCTTATGAAAGTCCTGCCAAGCATCCTACCATTACAGATGAAGAACGTAGGTACATAGAAGAAAGCATTGGAGAGAGTGCAAATCTTTTAGGTGCAATGGAAGTAAGACTTTTATTATGGTGTATATTTCTATTCTTATTCTCCATCTCATCTCCTTTCAATCAACCAAATTATTTTATGAGTCCCTATTCAACAAAATTGATTTGGTTTCAGTCATGATTTTTTTTTTTTACTTCATCCATAGTCCTTGACTTACTTGAGAATTATTGCTACTTCTTCAGAAATCTATATTTTTTTCTATGTCTTTGTTAAGCATCTTCAAATTGTCCCATGTTATAGCTATGACTGTAAACCTAAGTGAATTTTTAAAAACAGTTCAATATGGTCCATAATTTAAACAAATTCAACTATAGTTAATTTTAGATTGTAGGAAATGTCCAAATCACCTAAAAGTCATGGAAGAGGCTATTTTTTGTTCATTAAATAGTCTAAATGTAGATATTATACATGTGTATTTATATTATGTGTGGTTTAGTAAATACTAAAGCATTAGGGTGCCAATAACAGGTGACTGACGTGAAAAATATTCTTAATATAACATAATCCTTTTATAGATAAAATGTTATCATTTTCAGGATTATTATAAAGATCAAATATTATACAGAGAATGCTATAAAGCCTTTTTTTCTGATTATGATTTGGCTTCTTGGACAGGATCCGCCTACAGAGTGTGAAATGCAGTTCTGTGCCAATAATGCAAATATTTTAGTCCATGTGACATCAATATATCATAAATAGCAAGTAGTAAACAGCCATATGATACTATTAAAAAGAACCTACTAAACGAAAGTAATGTATTTAGACAGGTTCAGTAGTTCAGCACTTAGTAACTCAGCTTCCTTATGCTAAGAGTTGGAAGGTAACATGCACTGGCTGAGGACAATGACCCTTATACATGATGTTTCTCCTCTTTCTTTTAAAGGCTCCTCCACACATTCTCATTGTATTTTATTCCAGCTCTGCTCTCTACAACTTTTGTTAGAGAAGACCCTTCTTTGACATCTCAGTCTGGGTAAAAGATCTGTCACCCATTGTTGCTGAGGACATGTATCTTGACTGTTAATGGAAAAGAAAAATTTCATGTTGGATATTATTCAGAACTTCAGTTCTTGGAAATACTCCTTACATTATAGTTGTTCCATGAGATAAGTAGTCTGGCATTAGAACTTTCCCCTTCTGTGAATGGAGTGATAATTTCTTTCTAATGGTGATTACTCAAAAGACAGGTGGTGATGTGGGGGTGGGTGGGTGTTGGCAGTGTGCTCTGACCCAGGAGCCATAGCTGCTGTGAGCAGAAGCTAAAAATAGGCTGACCCAGGGTGAACTCCGAAGTTAGCTTCAATTTCTAGCCAAAAACAACCTGATCAGTCTGTATCTTCATTAGTTAAATGTGCTTCTTTTATTTATCAGTTCTTGAGATACTGTGTTTCTAGTTCAGGCATAAATTTTCTAAAATGACACCCAAAAGAACAGCCAGTAGGTTCATAAAACAGCATAGATAATCTCAAAATCCCCATTTTCTGTATCTTACTGCTTTTCTACACATAATATTTAATGTCTTATTGATATTTTATAGCTTCAAAGTAAATTTTTCAAAATGAGATTAGGTGGGAATAGACCTTATATTTTATTTTGAATGTTTTATTGTGAACAAATATAATATGATGCAAGAACAGCAACAGGAACGGCCATATACCCACCGCGTAGATGCAATCGTTAACATCTTGCCTTAATTATTTCACTTTTTTTTGCTGAATAATTTTTAAGATATATGAGATAAAAATTTATTCACAGATACCTCACATATATCTCTATAATACTACGAATATTCTCTTTCACAATCTAAGTGCTGTTATCATACCTAACACAATTAACAATAATGACTTAACATTGTTTAATACCTAGATATTTAAATTCTAATACCCAGTCCAAATTCTAATACCTAATCTATATTCATGAGTCTTTTGTAGCTATTTTTTTGAGTCTGGATCCAGTTAAAGATCACACACACTGCAGCTGACTATAATGTTTCTTAAATCTCTCCTTTTTAAAAACATAATTAAATATACATGCAGAAAAGTGCGCAAAATCATAAGCAAATAGCTTGCTAAATTTTTATAAACTAAATATACTTGTGAAGCAAACAGCCAGTGCAGTTAGTAGAATGTTATCACAATACTATAAACCCTCCTACAGCCCCCAATAATATTTTTTTTAATCCTTACCCGAGGACATTTTTTCATATTTTAGTTCAGATAGAGTGGGGGGGGGAGAGAGAGAGAGAGAAAAAAACATTGACGTGAAAGGGACACATCGAGTGGTTGCCACCCCCATGACCCAACCAGGGCCGGGGACAAACTGCAACCGAGGTACGTGACCTTAGTGGGAACCGAACCCGGGCCTCTCTGGACCGCAGGCTGACGCTCTAACTGCTGAGCCAAACCGGCCAGGGCACCCCCAATAATTTTTAAGGTAAAAAATTAAATACTTTTCTACTTGTTGAATTGTTTTGCAACCTAAAAATAAGGTTTTTAGTGGAGAGGATCCTGGTGTAAATAAAAGAAATACCAATTGAACAGGAAAACATGATTTACTTCTAATAATATTCTGAAGTTATTTCTTATGTAAATGTCTATAATGCAGACATTCCTTATTTGGCTATTTTTATTATCAGTGAATAAGTATCTTCACCTGGCACCATCTTCCCAGGACATATTTAAGGGAAAAACCCCTGTACTTTTTGAACCCATCCATGATGCTGTCCTTGAAATTTTTATCCAAAGCCATAGAACTCATTCTATGTTATTAGGACTGGCTTTGGTGTTGTTTTGATTCGTCTTCACATTACATATATTTGAGATCACCACGGTATAGCTTTCTACTATATTGCTTTTAAAGTGACCTTTAAAAGGAGTAATTAGAATCACAATCACTAATAGCAATGATGAGGTTCTGTATTCAGAAATAATTGCTAAATCTGTGTGAAAAAAATCCTTGCCTCCTCTTTTTAAATTTTTATTAAATTTATTGGAGTAACATTGGTTAATAAAATTATATCGGCTATATAATACTCATCTGTATATTGCATTATTTATCACCCAAAGTCAAATCTCTTTTTGTCACCATACACTAGACTCCCTCTACCTTTCTCTACCCCTCCCACCCTCCTTCCCTCTGGTGACCACCATCCTGTTGTCTGGGTTCGTGAGTGTTTTTGTTTGTCTTGTTTGTTCATTTGTTGCCTTCAGTTTCATATTCCACATATGAGTGCCTCCTCTTTCACTAATTAAGTCAGGTCAAGGATCCCAAACTGGCATTAATCAACGTTATTTTAGTCTATTGATTCTTCACCAGTGCTCTGGTGTTCAAAATAAAGTATTTGAAAAGTGTTTGGAAACTTGAGAGACATTTTAAGGTGTAAAAATTAGTCTTGGGGGAGGATACTTGTTTTCTATTTGGGCATATACAGGATCTTTAAGTATATTAGATGCAATTTTAAAATGAGCGTCATAAGCAAAGCCAATTATATCTAGGTTGTTAATTTTGAATGTCTTGAATATCATAAATAACTACAATCACGTGCCAGTTAATGACTGGATACGTTCGGAGAAATGCGGCGTTAGGCGAGTTAGTTGCTCTGCAAACATCATAGAGTGCACTTACCCAAACCCGGATGGCTTAGCTACTACTCCTATGTGCTATATACTTTTTACAAAAATCCTTACCCGAGGACATGTTTATGGATTTTTTTAGAGAAAGGAAGAGAGAAAGAAACATCAATGTGAAAGGAAAACATCACATGCACCCCAACCAGGGATCAAACCCTCAGACTGGGAATATGCCCTGACTGGGAATCATACCTGCAACCATTTGGTGTGCAGAACGATGCCCTAACCAACTGAGCCACCCAGCCAGGGCTGTGCTGTACTTTTACATGACTGGCAGCACAGTCGGTTTGTTTATGACAACGTCACTGTAAACGTGAGAGTAATGTGTTGAGCTACGGCATCACTAGGCGACCGGAAATTTTTGGCTCCATTATAATCTTATAAGACCACCATCATAATATATGTGTGGTACATCACTGACCACAATGTGGTTATGTAATGCATGACTGTCGTTATAATGTGTCCACGGTGTGCTGGTGGCGAACGCTTTAACCCGATATATACCACGTGAGTTTTAGAGCCTTGTACTCCAGTCTCACAGAATTTATACTGATATCCATTGACCATCAAGAGAACTTGCAGATAGCTAGTGGTATCTTTATCTTCAGATAGGCTTTTGATTATGGTGCTCTTAATTTTTCTTATTTTTATTTTCCTAACTATATTGAATTTTCACTATTTTAGATAAAATAGTTTGGATACCAACAAGGTCACTGATTTGGCAGTGAGTTATAGCTGAGTGTTATTTATCACTGCTGAGAAAAATCTTGGAACCTGAGATCTATACTCTGTTGTTGTTAATTCTCACCCAAGGATATTTTTCCATTAATTTTTTTTAGATAGAGTGGGAGGAGGATGGGGTGGGGGTAGCGAGAGAAACATTAATGTGAGAGAGACACATCATTTGGTTGCCTCCCACATGGCCCTGACTGGGGCCCGGGGATTAAATTTACAACCCAGGTACCTGCCCTTGAATGAGAATCAAACTTGCTACCCTTCATTCCGCAGGCTGACACTCAACCACTGAGCCAAACTGGCCAGGGACTGAGATCTATACTTTTGAAATTAGTTCTTTATAAATATGGAAGCTTGTATATTTCCAACACTGAAACAATTTTATCGGAATAGAGGCTGGTGTCTTTTTTTCTCTTCCATTGATTATTCATGCAACTAAGGTTAACTGGATTGTTGCAATTAATGATTCACTGCTTGCCTACCTCCTATTCATGCCCTGACATACACATCCTGAAAATGCAAAGCATCTATCATTCCTATGTAAGTTAGAATATATTTTAAATGGTCAGAATGGCTCTCTTTTTGGGATTTCAGAAATTCAAGACTCCATGGAGGAAATTTTTTACATCTATGCCAGTCTATGCAATAATTGTCGCAAACTTCTGCAGAAGCTGGACATTTTATTTATTGCTTATTAGTCAGCCAGCATATTTTGAAGAAGTCTTTGGATTTGAAATCAGCAAGGTATGTAAAAATGATTTTTATTTAACTAGTACATAATTTTTGTATTTAAGCGAATGTTCAGTTCCTATGTCAAGATCTTATCTTCTAAATTTCATGAGTTCTTTATTTATTTGGTCAACAAATAACCTCTGGCAAACAAAGACTAAGTAAGGTGTTTGTGTACTGCCTTCAAATGTCTGCTAGAAACTGCTCTTTGTTGTGGGAAACGCAGACAAAACAGACCTAGTCTTTGCCCTCATGGAGCTTATATCACAGTTGGGGTGGCAGTGTCGGCTTCTCTCTACAATTAAACATAACTTCTTTTTTTAATCTCCACCGGTGGACATGCTCAGAGAGAGGAAGGGATGGGGGAGGGGTGAGAGGGAGAGAGAGAGACATTGATGTGAGAGTTGCCTCCTGCATACTCCCCATCAGGGATTGAGCCCGCAACCCAGGCATGTGCCCTGACCAGAATCAAACTGCTACCTTTCCGTTCATGGGATGGTGCCCAACTAACTGAGCCACACCGGTCAGGGCAAACATAACTTGTTTTAAATGTCAGGTCAGAGACAATGGAACAGTGAATGAAAAATTATTTTATCAAGGTGGAAGTTGCCAATCTAACTTTTCTTCAGTGCTCTCAGAAATCTGTCAGGCTAAAATATTGGAGGATGACAAAACATACCTGAAAACATTTTGTATGTTGTTTATACAATTTATTCACTTGTCAAGCATTTGTTGAACATGATATGCGAAGTTTTGTGTTAGATTCAGAAATAAGAACATGTTTCTTGTCCTCAAGAGCTAATAGCTTGGTGGTATAGACAAAAAAAAAATAGTTACCAATTACAGCAGAGTAAGCTAAATGCTACAGACATGTATTCATAGCCATGAAAATATAATCATTTTGAGATTTTCTCTAAGGATAAAATGAACAAAATAATACTACTTCATATTTACATAAGGGTTTGAAATCTCCAAGGTTCTTTCAAATCCTCATCCGAGGACTTTTTTCCATTTTTTGTACAGACAGAGTGGGAGGGAGAGAGAGGAAGAGAGAGAGGGAAACATCGATGTGAAAGGAACACATCGAGTGGCTGCACCCGCACAAACTGCAACCGAGGTACGTGCCCTTAGCGGGGACCGAACCCGGGTCTCTCCGGACCGCAGGCGGACGCTCTAACCGCTGAGCCAAACCGGCCAGGGCTCCAAGGTTCTTTCATATTCATGAACAACCTCGTGTGGTTGAACTGGGTATAAGGATCACCATTTCTCTTGAACTGATGTAGAAACAAAATCTAGGGATGGTATTTAAATTGCCTGAAGCTGAGCTGCTAATAAACGACAGAATCACGTTTAAACCCAGATCCTTTGATTTGTTTCAATTCTCTCTACTGTGCCATTTAAATTCAGGTAAACTATATATTCATTTAAGCATTTAGCAAGAATTTGTTCAATGTCATCTCTGTGTCAAGCCCTTTGTGAGTCCTGAATACACTTGCCTGTGCTCTCAATGGACTTAGCATCTCTCTTCATGTCATTACATAAGTCCAGCTGGGCTCACGATTCATTTTATGTCTCTACTTGAAAGACTATTCGAGGCCTGGAGCTGAAGGAAACCTGAGTTTAGGAGTAGCTATTCTAAAAGCTCTTTTGTAATCCCTGTTTCTAAGGAAACTGTCTCCTCCGTTACTGAGAAGAAGGGTTGCTTTAGACAGGGCTCTTCTCTCTGGGGCTAAGCAGACATTGCAGGGTAGCCTTTGGGAGCTCTGAGAGGTGTTATACTTCCCAACAAAGGCTGCTGGAGGTGTGAGTCCATTTTCATAATCTAGGCCAAATATGACACTGAGAGGCTATTAATAAAGTCAGGTCTCATGGGGGAGAGTGAAGAAACCAACTGATGTTAATGGAACTGTATGGTCATTCTGGCCCTGTAGCTCCAATTAATTGAAAATGCTTGAGTGAAAGCAATGATATTTTACAAAAACTAAATATAATAACCAGATGGGTTGATTTGATTCACTTATTATGTTTTTAACTAAAATTGTGGATAAATTCTACACACACAAATTGACTTGAAGATTTCAATTATGCTGGTAAAATAATAATAATAATAAAAGTCTCTTGACTTACCTCTAAAACATGTAAAGGAGGAAATAGAACATGGGCTTTGGATCTAGGCTGACATGGTTCAGAAATTAAATTCTATAATAAACTGTAATAGTAATAATAATAATATAAAACACTTCTATCTGAAGTGAAAGAAAGACTTAAATAGCTTGGACATTTGACTTATTTCGAATCATCAATATCTCCATTATCAAAACAACCCAGGTCCACAGTTGTGACACCATGTTATACACCATTGTAAAATAAAATACAACCTTTGTCTCGAGCCTTTAATAATCTAATTTGAAAGACATATTTACATCAAATAATAAACTTATCTAGCACCTATAATTTTCCAGGAACTGTGTTTCAAGTTATACTTAGTAAAAAACCTCCATGTATGTTTATATTTAAAATTTACTAAGTCCATGTATGTGGTAATATATAGTTAAAATGCATTTTATTTCTGCTTCCATAATTTCTAGAAAATAGTGCTTTGCACATAATTTATTGGTAAAAAAAATGTGTGAATTGATGCTGGTTAAATATACATAGAAAGTATATTTCATTGTATGTCAATGTGACCAAATATTAATATTTAACATTAAAAAAACCCTAAAATTGAAGAATTGATCTACATTCTTCTGGACTCATAGAAACTGAATATAAAACTCATAAGAGACATATATTCAAAATGCAATAAAGGTTGTTAGCTTTATTATGACTTTTTTTTATCCTCACCCAAGGACATTCCTCCATTTTTTGTTCAGATAGAGTGGGAGAAAGAGAGGGAGAGAGAGAGAGAGAGAGAGAGGGAGAGAGAGAGAGAGAGAGAGAGAGAGAAACATTGTCATGAAAGGGACACATTGAGTGGCTGCCTCCTGCAGGACCCAACCAAGGCTGGGGACAAACTGCAACCGAGGCACATGCCCTTAGAGGGAACCGAACCCGGGTCTTTCTGGACTGCAGGCCGACACTCTAACCGCTGAACCAAACCGGCCAGGGCAGCTCTATTATGCTGGTGTGGTTCAGTGGTTGAAAGTCGACCCATGCACCAAGAGGTCACTGGTTCGATTCCCGGATTCCCAGTCAGGGCACATGCCCAGGTTGTGGACCCAATCCCCAGTGCAGGGCATGCAGGAGGCGGCCAGTTGATGTTCTCTCCCATCCATGTTCCAGTCTCTCTTTTCCTCTCCCTTCCTCTCTCTCTAAAATCAATAAAGAAAAAAATAACTTTTTTAAAATATAGCCTCGTTAAGGTTTTATCGAATGTGTTTCTCCTCTCCCTCTTTCCTACTATCCCCTTCTTGCTAAGGATAAATTTTTGAAAACACATTTAAGAATGTAAAATGAGCCCTGGCCGGTTTGACTCAGCAGTTAAAGTGTTGGCCTGTGGTCCAGAGAGACCCGGGTTCAGTTCCCGCTAAGGGCACGAACCTCGGCTGCAGTTTGTCCCCGGCCCTGGTTGGGTTGTGAGGGTTGGGATGTGTCCCTTTCACATCAATGTCTCTCTCTTTCTCTCTCTCCCTCCCACTCTATCTGAACAAAAAATGGAAAAAATGTCCTCAGGTGAGGATTAAAAAAAAAAAAAGAATGCAAAATGAGTACATAAGTACAAATCACTCTGTGGTAATATTCAAGGTAATTTATTCATCAACGCAAAATTTACTGACTCATAGCACAGAAGAAAAGTATTCTTCTAGAACATAAAAGGCTTTTCTCATTTATTCTGTGGAAGTTATTACTTGTTCTAGGAATAAGTAAGTGGCCATTTGGAGACAGTATTCTTCCTGCCTTTGTCCACAAAGAGTTTATGATGGGTTCCGAAAACAAAGACCATTAAATTGCCCACATTCCTTAGGGTCATGTATATTTCTCCTCTCTTGTTTCCCACCAGGTTGGTATGCTGTCTGCTGTGCCACACTTAGTAATGACAATTATTGTGCCTATTGGAGGGCAGATTGCAGACTTTCTGAGAAGCAGGCAAATTCTTTCAACTACTACAGTAAGAAAGATCATGAATTGTGGTGGTAAGTACATAAGTGATGTTAAGAACATGTTTTTAGTTCATGAAGTTCTGATCTGCGTCAGTGACTTTTTCTCTACATATCTGATATGCAGCTCAATATGTGTCTTCAGTGTTCATTTATAATCATTTTCCCATCTCACTTTAGGTTTTTGTAACTCCTCGTTTTAAATAACTGCATAACTAACCTGACCTTTTCCACCATTCAAACCCAAGGTTGTGTTTGATGTGTTCATTCAAACACCAGGAAGGTTTCAGTGATCTTTGTGCATAAATGGTAACTGTTGTTACTATTTGAAGCCAGACTGCCTGAAGTGGTTTGGGGGGGCATTTCTAGTGGCTCGGGCTCATTGGAAAAATTAACAGATTTCTGAAGTGTTTTCATGTGTTCGTTTCTGAAGGTTTTGGCATGGAAGCGACCCTGCTTCTGGTGGTCGGCTATTCTCACACTAGAGGGGTAGCTATCTCATTCTTGGTACTTGCCGTGGGATTCAGCGGATTCGCTATATCTGGTAATTTACAGTTTTTTAAATTTGTACTTGTGATATCTGAGTTTGGTTCGTGGTAATGAGATGATCTATCCATTTATCTCTATATATTCTACTTTCCTCGTTAAATATTTGACTTGAGAAAGTATACTCAATGTATTCCCACTAAAAATTATATTAAAAATGATAAAACATTTATAAACCATTATTTAAGTTTGTTACTACTCACTTTTTTCCCTTCTTACTCTTTTTATTTAATTCATTTACTTTTTGGTTAAGAGAACATACCTCCTTCATGGAGTGAGCATCACATATTAAGCAATAGATAAGAAATTATACTTCATTTTATTCTCATTATATCCCTGAGCTAAATGATCAAAATGTAGTTATTAAGCACCTGCTGTGTACCTAGTATCTTTTAAGGAGGGTGGTGAGAGTGGTAGAGAATATTCTATAGGTACTTCGAAGAAGTTTGAGATTCTCTGAGTCAAAGATTATGTGTGTATTTCAGGTTTCAATGTTAACCACCTGGACATTGCTCCAAGATATGCCAGTATCTTAATGGGCATTTCAAATGGTGTTGGCACATTGTCAGGAATGGTTTGCCCTATCATTGTGGGTGCAATGACAAAGAATAAGGTAAGATGGAATAAAACGGATGCCCAGTTATAGGTATTCTCCCTCATGGTTGGGGAAAGGGTTAATATATTCTCTTTGGCATTGCTCTTCTGGTCCACTCACCACACTTCTGGGCAGGCGAGGTGACTGAGTCAGAAGAAAATATCAAAGAACTCTGAGTGAGCCCTCTTGCCCAACCAATAAACAAACAACATGCTTCTCAACACCTTTTAATATTTCTGATACCCCTGATGCAGTTAAAAACAAGCAAACAAAATAAACAACCTTTTGCTCTTAACCTATTAGAACAGGCAAGCAGAAATCTTCTGAGCTTTATTTACAAACCTCATTTCAGACTCTTCTGGAATGACTATCCATAGAAGAATATAATCACCAGCTACTTATCCTTATAGAGAGAGCTTCAAATTTTTGGTTTACTAGAAGAAAATTAAAAAAAAAAAAAAAAGGGACTGAAAGAAAAATATTAAATCAATTATAAATATTTTGAAGATCAGTGGACCATAGATATATTTGGAATGAATTCAGAACGTTAGGTTTGAATGTTTTTTAAACAGTGAAAGTGACAGTACTATAGAAAGCTTCTGTCACAGGGGTTGCTTCAGGCAACCCGCACAGGGGCTCCCCAGAAGCCGCGTCCCGTGCAGCGTCGCGGGGAGGCGCCTGCAGGTGTCCCGGCCACGGGGCCGGTTCTCACGCCCCCTTCTGTCCCCGCAGTCGCGCGAGGAGTGGCAGTACGTGTTCCTGATCGCCGCCCTGGTCCACTACGGCGGAGTTATATTTTACGCAATATTCGCCTCAGGAGAGAAGCAGCCCTGGGCAGACCCCGAGGAAACAAGCGAAGAAAAATGTGGATTCATCCATGAAGACGAATTGGATGAGGAAACGGGGGACATTACTCAAAATTACATAAATTATGGCACCACCAAGTCGTACGGCGCCACGACACAGGCCAATGGAGGCTGGCCCAATGGCTGGGAAAAGAAAGAGGAATTTGTACAAGAAGAAGGACAAGACACATACACCTACAAGGACCGAGATGAGTATTCATAACAAAGCTAACTTGCTGGATTTATTTTTAGTGTTTGTGATTAACTTAATTGTGATTGCACACAAATTTTACAAATACGTGGTGTAAACATGTAAACATATCAACCAGGCAAGTCTTGCTGTAAACATGAAATGAAAACAAACTCCTGAAGTTACCATCCTGTGCAATCTGTGGAAGTTGTGAAAGTCCATCATTTCCATTCAGGTCATCTTGCGTTTGCGACTTACAGGTTGACTGGTCAAAAGCGGTAGAAGCAAGCAGTTATTCATTGGATTCATATGAGCTAGAACTCATCACCATTTAATAAAGCACAACTAAGGCAGTTGGCACATTTCATCCTACAAAGGTTAGGAAGCCAAAGCTACTTGAGGGTGTAAAATGCACTTATATATTTGTTACACTGTATTGCAAGATCTCATGCAGAAGTCCTGTTTAAAAATAATAATAATAATAATAATGTCATGTTGGCTGTATCAGATGTTGACAATATATATTGGGTGTAAATCATGAAGTCGGGATATCTCTCAATTAGGAAAAAATAGTGTGGGCTAGCAACTAGCAAGGCGTACTAAATAATTATTGTTATAACGTGGGATATTTTGTTGGTTATCAAAAGGAATGTCTTGCAGAGGTTTATGTGAAACACTTGGACACAAGCACATCTGTGAAACAGAACTTGTCAAGTGTGGAGTATGCTTCATGTTCTTCCATTCATTTACCTGACAGTATAAAACACTTCACATTTTAATAAATCGGACTTTTCATGTAGCATATCACATAACTTTTTTTGCAAAAAAAATTTAAAAAAAGACTTCGATGTATTTTTTTTACAACTTTGTACAGGTTGTAACTTGCATTAGAAACAAAAAGATGCACACACCATAAAGAATCTAATAAGAAATTTACTATGGAAATAGAGCCCTGAAAATGCAATATTAACAACAACAAAAATAGGAAATGATTTAGAGATTATTCTTCCATAATAACTAAATACTATATGAAACTTGTGCCACAGATCTATATATATAATATAAAAAGATAAATTTAATAGAGAGATTGTAAGTAGATAATTTTATTATTTAAAGTCCCATTTAAAGTATATTTGTCTTATATAGGACAACAAATTATATTAAAATTATATCTATATATATCTGTATATCTTATACATATCCATACACAGAAACATAATAAATAATCTTCACACACACAAAATAGCATACATCTAACGTTGGGTTAGGGGACTGCAATTTCTACTTTCATAGAGTCATAGAATTTTAGATGGGGCAGAGGCATTTTGCTTGTCACTTCTTAATATAATTCAACAGTAATTGCAACATTTGTGTACCAAGCAATAAGTGCAAATGCATAAAATTCCTGTCTGTATATTATCTTTATTTTGCTTGTGGTAGCTTTTTGGGTGGTTGGAATGATTTTTTTTTTTTTAATTAACATCAGACCTCTTTATCATGTTCTAAAATGATAATAATGCATTTCCCAATTCAATTTAAAATATTATTGGTGTATTTAATTGTCTATTCTGGATATTTGATCTGTTCCTTGTATTGTGCTAGTGACTGGAGGCCCTGCTACTGCAAATATAAAACATAAAGTTTGTTTTAAAAATGCAAACCATTCTTGACCTTAAGAAAATAAAAATACCTTTTGCTTTGTGTCTCAAAGTGATATAATGTGATCATAGCTTTTGTTGTGTTGAATGGAAAGGTATGGACTATCATTTTTGCTGCAAAAAAAAAAGTGTTAATAAAATGCTCTATTTATTCTTTTGTAAAAAAAAAAAAAAAAAAAAAGCCAGTGCATTAACATGGGTTTATTTTATTTAGTTTATAGCTTTAATATGAATTCAGCTTGTGATCCAAGGAAGCCAAATCTAGGCTCCAGAACACTTTTTTAGCCACTTGGGATTAAATGGAAAAACATGACATTCTTTAGATTGTGTGGGACAGGGTTCTGTTGAGACAGCTTTTCCTCCAGAAATAGGTCTGGGAGTCACTCTATCTTCCACAGCTTCTGCTAAGTTTAAAGAAACATTTAGGGAAAAACTCAAAACGTGTCAGGTCACTGATACTACCTAATTTTGATTGCACACATACTTTGGGCTGGGCACTGCCCCAAACATTTTATGCAGAATCTCTAATGTAACTTCACAGTGACCCTCCAAAGGAGAAACGCACGTTATTCCAGATTACAAAGGAAAAAACTGAAGCTGAAAGGCGATCCCTTAGCTCAGATATCCTACAGCATTGGAATCTGAGACCCTTAGAACTTGACTGTTCAAAGGGATTTATGAGTGATTTAGTTGACACCCCTTATTTAACAAATAAGGACACTGAAGGTCAATGAGAGAAACTGACTTGATCAAGAGGATGCTATGGATTTGGCAAGAAGTTGTTATGATTAATTATAGTTTTGTTTTTATTTTCTTTTTAAACCAGGTTTTTATTTAAGGCATTAGTTAAAAACATTTGTTGCTTCAACCTCTACCCCATATCCACCACTAATATAACCTCAGTCCATGTGAGTAGGTATGGGGGTGAGGTAAGGGAGTATATTTTTCTTCCTGCATTCCTCTGCATAAAAATAACAATGGCCAGCCCTGGCCGGTTTCTCAGTGGTTAGAGCATCGGCCCGCAGACCAACAAGTTGCGGGTTCAATTCTGGTTAAGGGCACATACCTCAGTTGCAGTTCAGTCCCTGGCCCTGATCAGGGTCATGCAGGAGGCAGCCAATCGATGTGTTCTCTCATGTCACTGTTTCTCTCTCTCTCTCCCTCCCTCCCTCCCTCCCTCCTACTCTTTCTGAATATAAATTGAAAAATATCCTTGGGTGAGGATTTAAAAAAGAAACAAAAACAATGACCAGCCTTGGCCAGTGTGGCTCAGTTGGTTGAGCATTGTCTTGTGCACCAAAAAGTTGTCGGTTTCATTCCTGATCAGGGCACATACTCAGGTTTTGGGTCAAGGTGCCTGTGGGTGGCAACCGATCAATGTTTCTCTCTCACATAAAATAAAAAAAAATAAAAAAAAAAAACTGATTAAAGAAACAATGGCCAGAGACAAAGCTTAATTCTTAGGGAGGCTCACAGGCCATCTTTGCATAACTTGATGGCAGGAATGAAAATGCCTTGAATCTAACACTATATAATTTCCCCAATTCCATAAGACAAACATTCACAGTTGCTGTAGGAAATTGCTCTAATGATGTCTCCTAATATTACCACTGGCCATATTCATTTTCTCTTTTCTCAGTCATGCAAAGTCATCTTCCACTTCTTTCCTCCCCTTTTTCACATTGTCCTCCCCTCCCAACGCCCATCCACATCTGTTCATTATATGTATCTAGTATTTTGCAATTTTCAAAATGCTTTTCCATGCATCGCCCATTTTGTTCATACAACTGCCTTGTAAGATTGAAAAGCCACATATTCATATTAGTATTTCTTTTCTAAATAAGGGACTGGGTCAGGGTGTAATTAATTTCCTAAAGATTCCCCAGGCAGGACTGAAACAAAGATACATACCATCTGGCCACAGCACCAGAGTAATTTATTTTCACTTTAAATCACTTTATTACTCTTCTGATTATAAATGTAGTATGGGGTAAAAGGGGATCTTTATTAGGTAAAGAAGACGATTAAAAACAATAAAATATAAAGTCAATAATCTTGATGTCTAGACATAATCACTGTTCAACGATTTCTCGAATGTTTTCTATAAAAACCACATATACAGAAAGCTCACATATACTTTGTAATTTACAAATTTGAAATCATACTTGATCTATTATTGCAAACTACTTTTTCCATTTGACATTTTAGCATGTGTCTATTTCTATTTGAGTAATTGAGTTCTTTAGCCTAACATTCTATTACATCAGACCGCTATATTTGAGGTATGTATTTATCCAATACCTTACTTATGAACATTTTTTCTTAGCACCCTTTTCTCTTTTTCTTTCTGCATGGGTGGATCTTTTGGGGAAATGAAAGTCACAAATATACACATTTAATCCTTATAACCATGATGGATATTTAAGTTACTATCTGTAATTTACTATTCCTGTGTTTGACTATAGAGACTACTACTACTGGCTATTGACTTTGCTGGGATTCATTTACTAATTCACTTACTCACGCAATAAGTGTTTATTCAGCACCTATACTGTGGACGTTTCTGGGCCTACGGTGGTGAGAAAACAGATTTAGTCTCCACTATTGAGGATCTTAAAGTCCAGCCCCCTCCCTGAGGTGTTTGCAGCACATGCTGTTGCCCCATCAGGACACAAAGATGTGATTAAGACAAGAGGTTCTTGGACACGGGGCCCCTGCTAACCTTCCTAAGAAAGGATTTTTCTTAATCCCCAAAACTTCCAAAATCTGGCTGCCATTGAGGTACTCCCTATGTCATTAAAAAAAAGTTTAAGGTGATGAAGTTTTTCTCAACCTCGGACACCCTCTGCAGGGGGTCTAGGCCTTGGGGAGACCAGCATCAGCTTTCTCCAGCGCTTGAATCTGCAGGAGGGGAGATGGATGGGCTGCACTTACTAAACACATTTCCCATCCAGTTCAAATTGTCTTCTGTTCTGTTTCTCCCCTGGGTCTCTGGTGACCCATACACTTTCTGTTTCCACTTTCCCCCCTTCGTGTACATGCTGCCTCCCTCAGCTTTAACCGCACATAGTGGCTCTTGAGAGTTCATTCTCACGATAGTGATGCAATGATCAGGGTAAGCTTTTTTGTTCTCTTCTCTCCATTCTCATGCAAGACCTTAAACTTGAATTTCCAGTCAGCTGCTGTCAAAAATATGTTATCAATGTAGGTTGATCTACACTATTCAGTTCCTTAAAATGCTCAAGCTTCCCCATGCTCCGTACTCTTCATCCCCCCTGAACACAGCCAGGCATCTAAGACTTGCCTAATCAGGATATATTACCCTGTTCCTTATCCAGATTCAGCAGTGCTTGCTGACTGAAACCTTCCGTGGATTTCCCCACGAGCAAGCACGATGAAGAAATCTCTCTCGTTTTGTTAAATCCCTTTTGAGGACCTGTCTAATTACTTTGCTCAGTGTGCAGTAGATGAAGATCTTTGCCTTTCTACAAGATGGACGCATACTACCCCGTCAATTACAGCACTATCAATACTTAGGTATGAAGGGACATGGGCCACCATTTCTCCTAGGACTCCTCAAAAAGCTTTAGAGATGCACTTTTTGGCTCAATTGCTGTTTTCCTCTCCCTTCTTCGGTTTTATTTAGTTTTTGTGTTTTTTTAATTGTTTGCTTGTTTAGTTGTTATTTACCTTTGATTTTATTTTAAAAGAGGAAGTGAATGAGAGATCCAATAATAATAGTAGGAATTATTCATACAGGGCATACGAAATACCAGACACTGTTCTCAGGGTTATCTATTTATATGTATATTATTTATA